ATTCACAGGCACACTCGAACTCCATGTCAACGCTTTGAGTTACCATCTGCTCGCTTTAGCCACGTACATATCGATTTGGTTGGACCCTTACCCCATCACTAGGTTATACATATCTTCTTACGTGTGTCGACAGATACACACGTTGGCCAGAGGCTATCCCTATTGTAGATATGTCAGCCGACACTGTGGCAAAAACCTTTTTTTCTGTATGGATTTCACGGTTTGGGGTACCCGAGTACGTTACCACGGACCAAGGACGGCAGTTCGAATCTCAATTATTTACTGCATTAACAAAATTCTTGGGAACTAAAAAGATCCGTACATCACCGTACCACCCGAATTCCAATGGACTTGTCGAGAGGTTCCATCGCTCTCTTAAACAGGCCATTAGATGCCATACTGCTATTCACTGGGTTGATGTCCTTCCTACTGTGTTGTTAGGACTCAGAACGGCTATCAAAGAGGACCTGGGTTCTTCAAGTGCTGAAATGGTTTATGGTACCAATTTACGTTTACCGGGAGATTTTATAAATCCCGCAAAAAACTCACCCAATGTCCAGCCCCATGCATTCCTCAAACAATTGCGTGAAACCATGGCTGCATTATACCCTAAGCCCACAAGCATACATTCTTCAAGACCTGTGTTTGTTCCTAAAGAACTCGCTACATCCTCACATGTGTTCTTACGGTGTGATGCATCAAAAAAGTCCTTGGAGCCTACCTATACAGGCCCACACCTAGTTCTAAGTCGCACATCCAAGAACTATCGGATACTAATCGGCGACAAAGAGACAGTGGTGAGCCTTGATCGTCTCAAACCAGCCTTTATCTTAGCACCACAAACTGTCGAGACTGGTACATCAGTCCCACCTCCTTCGAAGGCACCTTCATCTATTGGGTCTACACCAACATCTACTACTACGTCAGTTCCTGTGCCTGGATCCCAGAAAACAAGTGCTCCTCAGTATACACGTTCCGGACGTAGAGTCCGATTTAACCCTCGGTACCTTTAATTCGTTGCCACTGGAGGGGGAGTAGTGTGGCGACTCTGTAAACATGTGTTGTACTCGCCAACCGCGCGCCGTTATCACTAACTGTAACCGAAGGTGATTTCGGCGACACACAGTCACGTCTCGTCGTCGGTGCGGTTGGTCGCTCGCTTTCCTTCAACGTGATTGTCTGTCGACTGTAGTAATTAAGTTTTAATATTGTGATGTGATTAAATGTTTTTGTTATCAAAAATTGGCTCTTATGGCATGTTATGAATTCATCCTTAAAAGCACTGGCAAATTCCAATACGCATAGTTTGTTGTTGCACACAGCCGCAACCACGTTCAACATCGAGCCTTCAGCATGTATATGGCCATCTCCTATCGTCCTCGTCAGAAAGAAAGACGGCTCAACGAGATTTTGCGTTGACTATCGCCGGTTGAATGAGGTTACGAAGAAAGACAGTTACCCTCTTCCTAGAATTGACGACATTCTAAACCTCTCTTTCTGGAAGCAAGTGGTTCTCAACACTTGATTTAAAGAGTGGGTATTGGCAGGTAGAAATACATCCTGAAGACCAAGAAAAGACGGCATTTACTACGGGACAAGGACTTTGGCAATTCAAGGTGATGCCGGCAACATTCGAACGCCTTATGGAGACTGTTTTGAAAGGTCTTTCCTACGAAGCCTGTCTGATATACCTGGACGATATCATCATCGTCGGAAAGAGTTTTGAAGAGCATCTAGAAAATCTTAGAAAGGTTCTTCAGAAACTGAAGGAAGCCAATCTGAAGCTGAGTCCCGCTAAATGCAAATTGTTCCGAAAGGAAGTGACTTACCTGAGACATGTCATCTCTGCAGAAGACGTGTGTACGGATCCTGAAAAGGTGTAAGACGTTAAATCCTGGAAACATCCCGAAAATGTCCACCATCTGAGAAGCTTCCTAGGGCTTTGTACCTACTATAGGAGATTCGTGAAGGACTTTTCTTCCATCGCAAGACCCCTTCACAAGCTGACAGACAGCAAGCAAAAGTTCTTGTGGGCAAAAGAATGCGAGGAGGCATTTAACAACTTAAAGGAAGTTTTAACATCTGCTCCAATCCTAACGTATCCTCAGCTCGACAGACCATTTAATCTCGACGCGGACGCGAGCAATGAAAGTGTCGGTGCTGTTTTGTCCCAAGAAAGAGACGGCCAATAACTTGTAGTGGCTTACTGGAGCAAGTGCCTGTCTAAACCGGAGAGGAATTACTGTGTCACCAGGAAAGAGTTGCTCGCCATAGTCAAAGCCATAGAACAATTTCATCATTATCTATACGGCAGAAAATTCCTGCTCCGCACAGATCATGCATCATTGCCCGGGCTTCTAAATTTCAAAAATCCTGAAGGTCAAATAGCCAGGTGGATACAGAGACTCCAAGAATATGACATCTCTATCTGTCATCGGAAGGGATCATCACACGGAAACGCCGACGCCATGTCTAGAAGACCTTTCCCCGAAAGCTGCCGATATTGTTCCAGGATCGAAGCGAAATACGAACTGCTCAGTCCGGTGACACGAAAAATTATGACATCAACATCGGCTGATCGAGACCCGTGGAGTGACGATGAAGTCAGGAAAGACCAGCAAGAAGATCGTGACATTAAACCCATAATCGATTTAAAGGAGTCATCAAACAGAAAACCTACCTGGCAGGACATTTCTATCTACAGTCCTACAACAAAACGGGCACTCTGGGATTCACTTAACATTCGAAACGGCGTCTTATACCGGAAATTCGAATCGGATGATGGTAAGACGTTCCGATGGCAACTGGTACTTCCAAGATCCCGGATGTCCTTAAAGAACTACACAACAGCCCTACAGGAGGTCACTTTGGAATAATGAAGACCTTACAGAGAGTTCGTGAGCGCTTTTACTGGAATAATGCAAAGGATGAAGTGCAAAAGTGGTGCCGATCTTGCGATGCCTGTGCAGGTCGGAAAGGACCGAAGAAACGCAAAGTCGTTCATTACGACAGGTTAGCTCATTACTATGGCCATAGTACGTAGTGTAAATAATTGTAAATAGTATAAGATCATGGTCTTTTTTGTTCCTAAATGTGTATTTAATTTGTATTTTGTATTCTATTTGTATTTAGTATTTGATAACATTTGATTTGTTTTAGTTATTTCATTTACTTTTCATGTTGTTTGTTATTGAAATGTAATTTTTACTATTGCATTTATGCCTTAGTTGTAAGTTTGGCTTCCTGTCCAGGGATTGTACTGCCCGGACGTGCAGTCCTTGGGAAGGGGACAGTTTTACGAATTTGGCATTTAAATAGTTGATGTTAGTGGAATTCTAAATTAAATTGTTTTATTCCTTGTGCAATGCAGCGCGTGTCGAATATTATGAGAAAGCTAAGCCGGAAAAATTAAAAATACAAGAGCACGTGCATTTAACATTTAATAAATAAATAAATATCTCTTTTTGATTTCAAGAAAGTTCCAGAAAATTCTCGCACTCTAATTAAAATCATATAAAAAGGAGGAAAACCTCTCAAATTCGATGATTAGTTAGTTTGTTAAGAACTAACTAATTAATTCTAACTAGTTAATTCGATGATTAGTTATTTTTGTTGTGATAATAATAAAATTTTGTCCATTTTTCATCGGACTTGTGCATTCAATTCAAACGAACCCGTACGCACGCAACAATATCCAATGAGAGGGCATAGCATAACTATGTCGTAATGTGAACCATATTGAAGTAAACACAATGTGATGTAAATGTGAAAAGAAGGCACTAGAAACAGAAATAAGAAGTTTAGAATTTTTGAAAAAATCTTTCATGATGAATAGTTTGAATAATATGATAATTTTGAAAGAGATGCAAATGAAATTTGAAGATTAGAAATTATGCAATGTTTGCGGCATTCTTCTTGAGTGTCTCTAGTAACCATGAATGATAATAGTTATACTCTGAATATTGTGTAGTTTAATATGCAATTTCTTAGCCATTTTCAAGAACTTTTTAATGTACTCAAGCTGAAGTTCATCATAACTTTAGCATCTAACATATCATGAGCAAAATCCAAGTTAAATAACACACCAAAAACGATTATTGGAGGTGCTAAGGCAATAAGAATGAGCATAATATTCATAAATTTGCTGGGCTATTTTCGAAGGTTTAAATGTAGAAGCTGTTTCTTCAGCTGCAGAAATGCAAATGACGAAAGAGAAGCCTGTGCTCTGGCGATGACAATGAGATAAAGGAAGTCAAGCTACTAGCGTCATCTAGTGGTGAAGAACAAAAACTACAATGGAATAATTTTCTTAAAAGCTGAGGGCAAAGACAGATTGGAATTGGTATCATTAACTAGAATTGAAAGATTTTTATGAATATTAAACGCCTCCAGGAAATCTAATTCACCAACGGGAGATATTTTTTGAATCACTTTGGCTGCAAAAAATGAAAAATAGAATTTTTCTGACCAACAATGTTGGGCAACACTGGAATTTTTGTATCTCCAGAAGAATTTTTGTGTTCTTGTGTTGCCCGGTTGGTGTATTTGCATTTCAGCAAATCTGTAGTGTAACATCCACTAAACTATACAATATATATAAAATGCTTCTGTGTACAATTTTTTACAAATATATATTTGCGTATCATAGAAAAATTAATAATCCCAATAGAACGGGAGATATATTAACTTTTTTCGCAGTGTATATATATATATATGTGTGTGTGTGTGTGTATGTATACGCACACATACATTCGTGGATATGTATGATGTTCATGCACACATGAACATATATATCCATATAGACATATCTTCTTGAGTCTGGTCCTGTACCCAAAATTTCACAGTCATAAGCCAGTGTATTATAAAGGTATAGAGCTTTAAAATCTGTCGTATTTCTGGCATATTTTGACATTAAATACATGACCACTTAAATGCTTATTTTTTAACTAAGAATGGTAAAATTCTTTTTAGTTAATGAAGTATTTTGAGGAAATTCTTACTTTTGTCTCAGCATTCAGCCTTACTGTGACAGACTGGAGTCGCCTTCTGAGGTCTTCAACTTCTTGTAAAAGTCGCATAATCATGATTTTATAACTTGTCTGTTGAGAAAAAGACTTAAAATAATTATTAATATCAATTTTAGAATTACTGAAACAATAAAAGTTGCTAATTGTATAAAAGAAATTTCTGAAGTTAAATACTTGAAAATCGTCCAGCTTTTGTATAGTTCTCACGTGGCGTTTCATCGTGGGTGTGATTTTATCATGAACTTTTAACTTCGATGAGCAATCTATTTTAAAAGTTTTTAAAATTTGAAATCGACTTCAAAATACTGTTTCTCGATGACAATGCAATGTGGTGATGATTTTTTTTTTAATTGCATTTAGGATTTTTCATTCAATGTTTGAACGATTTTTCGCACATATATTCATTTCATGAACAAAATGTATGGGATATGAAGTTTTGAAACTTTCACAGAATATAAAACAACTTTTTGCCCTATTTTAAAACAAGAACGGTAAAGAAATATTGAGTGATTTTCTGAAATTTATAAAAAATGCGTTGCGCTCTAAAGCAGACGGAATAATAATAATAATAAAAAAAAAAAAAAAACATCCAATTTTCGAAACTTCATAATTTTCCTACACTTTATTACTTTTGTTTTAGTAACGACTAAAAATTTCATCATTGCTAATGTTTAATTGAGACTAAAATACAGAAACTAAAAAGAAATATTTAAGTTTTTTATACAATAAGCTTTTGTTTAAAATGTAGTATAACATAATTACTGCAATAAAAGGAGGAAACTAATTTATCATATAGCTTAATAGGAATAATAAATTAAATAATTCTCTTAACCGAATTCATTTACAATTTTTTTATCGCGAATAATAAAAGCGGGGGACTCCTAAGTATAATTGCATTGCCAAATGTATAAGCCACTATATTTTGAATTTATCATGGGCATTCCACGCTTTTTTTATTCTCGAAATAAAATTGTCGATGAATTCTGTAAATAGAATTATTTAATATATTATTGCTATTAAATAGTATGATAAATTATTTCTTTCTTTTTAGTGCAGTAATTATCATATACATTTTAAATAAAAGCTTACTGTATGAAAACCTTTTTTTTTCATATTTTTAGAACGATTTCAAAGCCGTTTAATTAATATTTAAAATGCAAAGAGTATTCTTTTAAGTGTTCGATCTTATAGCCTTTTTTCCTGATTTATAAGTCTGCATCATAATTTCCATGATAGAAAAGCTTTACGTAAAATTTCCAGTGGTACCTGTTTCAATGTCTCTTTAGCGAGAAGACGACGTTTCAATTACATACTTTTCAGACGATTCCATCCTTCAAGTACGGTGAGAAGTATGTTTCCGGGGTAACATAACTATAGTGGTTTACAGATATAGCTCTACTCGCCCGTTTTTTAGTTAGAAATTATAATCTGAAATTGGTGACAAAGTTATAATCATTAGCGAAGAAATTTAATTAATCATGAAAATTTAAATATTAAAAAAAATGAATTACGACACATTTATCGGTTTCAATAATTACAAAAATTAAGTGACAAATGTTAAACATTTTTAATATCTATCACATTTTAAATCCACTTTAAAGAGGAATCACTCTTCCATTGATCAAAATCAGATTCTGCAGTTGCAGTAAGTTGATTCCGACTCATCGTTTGACAAACCAGTGCCTACCACGAAACTTATTTCGTCAATAGTTTCTTCAACTAAACTATCAAGATTCCAATGTCTGTTTTCAGCCGCCCAGACGGTATAATGGTTAGGGTACAGTACGGTATAGTAATCCTTTACTGAAATTTTCTTTGAACTGACGGAACGAGGTTTGTACATTTTTTTTCCTCTTCGTTTTCGATAGTAAATATTAACATTTCCATTTATCTTCTGCTAAGCAGTTTTCATGCAGGGTTCTGCAAATTGTTCTGTGTTGAGCTACATGCCTCGCCAGCTATTTTAAGTTGTAAATCTTGGTTTATTACTTTATTTATTGTTACTACAAATGTATTTAAAGATTTTACGATTGATTTTTGGGTCGTCGGATTTTCTCTAGTTACGAACAATTTAACTTTTAGAAAGTTTAGAAAGAATACGTACCTTTTTTGGATATTCCTTTGGAGTTATCTGTCCTTGTAGAAGTAATGATTTTCCCTTTCCGGTTAGTAATTTCCGGTTTATCCCTTTCCCATTAATAATGTTGCTTATTTTTCACTTAGAAATTCTACACTCCTCAAGAGTGAAATTGCAGAATCAAGAAAGAATGCGCGTAGCGTCATGAAAATTGCAGAAACGAGAGCTGTGAGGTGGTTATGCAAATGATAAAAGTTGCGCATACATTGGATCCCCTGATATGCGTATGCAGGCTCTAAAGTTCAGCCACTTTTCCTTCCCATAAACAGCATGTGAGGGTTTACGGAGCATTAGAGACTTTAGGAGAAGCATAGAAATGCCTCTGAGACGTCGGCGAGCTCAATACCCTCAGTTAACGACCAGAGTCGCACAGAAGGTACATAGGTTAGGGGAGTAAACCGCTGAGTTGGCTTCCGACCCAGGTATAGATATATCCATGCAGAATTGGTTACCAACTCGGCGGGCGTTACCAACTCGGCGGGAGTCAACCACTAGCTACCAGGCCGCAGCCCTGGGCAGCCCCGGGCAGCCCCGGCTGAGCAGACGACATTTATAAAATGCAAAAAAGAGATATACATATGCATACAAGGCACTTGAAGAAGAGTACAACAATGTACAAAGAGATATATACATGCGCATACAAGGCACTTGAAGAAGAGTACAACAATGTACGAAGAGATATATACATGCGCATACAAGGCACTTGAAGAAGAGTACAACAATGTACAAAGAAATATATACATGTGCATACAAGGCACTCGAAGAAGAGTACAATCAAAATATATGTATATACATATAAATACAAACTCATATACAGATATATACACACTTACATACATAGATATTCCGAAACAAATAGAAGTATATATACTCTCACTCATATTGATATATACACCCATACATATACGTTATCATGATAGAGTTTACAAGAAGCATGCCACTGAGGTACGCGTGATCCTTAGTATAAATTAGGTACCATAAATAAAAGATATAAACATGTACAGATACATTACAGCATTCAGATACAGTACGAACTTTATGTATGAGAACCTGGCACAGCATAAATACAAAATTACATAATGAACATACATATCACATACTCTGTAACTGACATATTGAACTAGCTTATATAGACTTTTATGACTACTACCTTCCAGTGTCAGAAGAGTAATTGCTAGTACAGTAGTCAATTATTGTTTTCAGTTTCTGCTGGCCAACTCTGTTACTTTGTAGATTCTGGAACCAATTTGACCAAAATCTGGCTCCTGGTTGCTTGAGGCTGTTAAGTGCTGTATGTGGGCAGGAAAACACAAAATGATCTGAATGACCCTCCTCCCCACATTCACAGTTACCATTCTCTCTCAAGCCAAAGCGGCAGAGGTATGAAGGAAAGGGCCCATGACCAGTGAGGAAATACGTCATGTAATTGCTATTAGTATGGATTGTTGTCTTGACCTTGGGAATGAGACTGAAAACATGCCTCCCTGTGGAGGCTTGATCCCAACGTTCTTGCCGTATTCTTAGGAGCTGATGGAATGTCCGACTCTTTATGTCCGAGACTGGCCTAAGGGTCGGGACTTCTCGTAAAGTGGGTGAATCCGCTGCTTCCTTTGTGACAGCATCTGCTCTCTCATTTCCTTCTATTCCCGTATGAGCGGGCACCCAGATGAGTGAGCGTCTTTGCAAAGCAGGCATGTGTGTTAGAATGTCTCTAATGCTGCTGACGATAGGACTGCGAGAACGAATTCCAGCTATTGTAGCGAAGCTTGAGGCTGAGTCTGTGTAGATGATATTGGGCACTGTGGGATTATTCTTCAGGTGGAGAAGAGCTGCTCTGATTGCTATGAGATCCGCCTGAAAGACAGAGTTTTCAGAAGCGAGCTTTCTTTTCCACTCATACGTTAAAGCTCCTCCAGAAAAATACAGAATCCACTTCCTGTGCCCCCTGGAGTTTTAGAGCCATCAGTGAAAACACCATTTGCAAATCCCGAGTCCTGTGTTCTATTAAAGTAGATAGTGTCCACAAGGTTATTTTTAGAAGGGTGGCAAGGATCTTGCGATATGTGATGCTCATAATCAGTATGGATATAAATTTGTCCCCAGAGACTTATGGTGTGTCGTAGTCTGCTTACGTTAACCACTGCAGCCTCTCGTTCAATTAACAAGTCCAGAGGCGGCGTGCCTGCGATAATTTGTAGGGCTGCCGTGGACGTGGTACGATAAGCCTTGCAAATGAGGAGAAGCTGGTGTCGCTGTATAGAGAGTAGTGAAAGTCTCATTTGGGAAGAGATGTTAGTTCCCCAAATAGCAGCGGCATACAGAATAATTCTTTCCACCACTGTCTTGTACCATATTCTAAGCAAGTGACATGGAATACCTCATCTTAACGAGGTTGTTGATCGCATAGAAGTAGTCAGTCTATTGATTCTTATTTTTAAAGAAGAGATGTGTGGTTGCCAGGAAAGTCTATTATCTATTACTACTCCTAGGTACTTAAGTTGTTTAACACTTTTAATGAAGGACCCCAAGAGTTTAAGACAAGTGTTTCTACGTAATGGAGAGCCTCGACTAATTATGAGTGCTTGTGTTTTAGGCACCGAGAGTTTCAGTTTATGCTCTCTCACCCAGTCAGCAAATAAATTAAGGCTATCCTGAGTTCGCGTTTCAAGGTCGCTTCGGCCTGCTACAATGAGTAAAAAGTCGTCTGCGTATGCTAAAAGCCTTACTCCTTCTTTATTTTCAAAGACTGTAAAAATAGGTTAGGGGAGCCTACTGCGGTACCGAAGGGCCAGGGTTCGAATCCCAGAAAACACATGGACGTTTCTAAATGTGTAGTGTTGGTGCGGCATGGCGGCACTCTTAATATGGGGCGACCCGAAAGTCCTCTTGTGTGGATTAGTGGGAGATCCCCAGGGTGTTTTCCCTCAAAACTGGG